TCTTTAGCTGACACTCTGGGATTCTTCTTTACCTCATGCAGCATTCTGCGCTGTGCTCTTGCAGTCATTTTTACAGGACGACCAAGCCTAGGGAGAGTAGCAACACTGCTAAACTTTCTCCATTTGTAGACAGTCTGTCTTACTGTGGACACATGAACATCAAGGCTTTTGGAGATACTTTTGTAACCCTTTCCAGCTTCATGCAAGTCAACAATTCTTGGTCGTAGGTCTTCTGAGAGCTCTTTTCTGCGAGGCATGGTTCACATCAGACAGTGCTTCTTGAAACCAGTAAACCCAAAACAGGTGTGTGTTTTTTAAGGGCAGGACAGCTGTCAGCAACACATCCAATATCATCACACTGATTGGAGTCAAGGTTGGCTCACTCCTGGCTCCAATTAGCTCTTGGAGAAGTCATTAAGCTAGGCCCTCACATACTTTTTCCTCCCTGCACTGTGAATGTTTACATGTTATGTGCAATTAAACCATGGCAACATCTAATGTTTGTGTAGTATTATGTTCAGCAGACTGTGTTCTTCTATTGTTGTGACTTAGATGATGTTCAGAGCACATTTTATGCCCAATTCATGCAAAAACTCCACGTAATCCCAAGGGGTTCACATACTTTTTCTTGCAACTGTATGTCCTTTTTTTCCCCACAAATATGGCTTTCTTTCGGTGGTATTTGTTCGCCTGTGCGTTTTTAATTTTTTGCCCTATAAAAAAAAAATACCAACAACTTTGAGAAAAAAAAAACAATATTGACTTTTTGCTATTAAACATGTCCAGTAAAAAAATGTAAAAAAATCAAATTTCATCATAAATGTAGGCCAAAATGTATTCTGCTACATGTCTTTGCTAAAATAAAATCCCAATAAGAGTAAATTAATTGGTTTACGTGACATTTATAGCGTTTACAACTAGCGGTATATATACTGGGATTTATTTTTACTAGTAATGGCGGTGATCAGCGACTTATAGTGGGACTGCGGCGGGCATTCTGACACTGGGGGGAACTGACTTGGTGTCACTGACACCAATACAGTGGTCAGTGCTAAAAAAAAGCACTGACACTGGGCAGGAAGAGGTTAGCCTGGGACGATCAAAGGGTTAATTGTGTGCTGTTTTCCTAAGTGTGCTGTGTTTGTGCTTCACTGTAAGCACCCTGCAAACAGTGTGCAGGAGCTGACATGGGAGAAAACTGTTTTGTCTACAAACAGTTCTCCCCGCTGTCGGAGGTCCTCGGCAATCACTGGGCACCGGTGAGTAATTACTGTCCGGGACCCGGTGATTGATATCTGCGGCCACGAATGGCGGCGCGCCACCTACCCAGAAATGCAAAATCACGTGTGTGTATATATATATATATATATTGCTGATCGCTGTACTGGAGGTCTGTTTCCAGGAATGCCCACTTCCAGCCCATTTCAAAATGGAGGTCATTGGGGTATCTTTCCATTTCCTGCAGTGGATAAGACATCACTTGGAGGGACTTCCATACAGAGCCTGTTTATTTCTTGCTTCTGGTGAGTGCATAGTGGTAGAGGATTGTCACAGATGTCACTTCACATCGCTGATCACCATTGATTCACACATTATTTTTGAACACTGTAATTTTCTTTGTACTTTATGATTTAGATATTGGATATTACTTCACATATCATTTTTGTTACTATATTAGCGCTGCACCTTTGTATATACATATATATTGGTGATTTTGCGCACCTGTGCCGCCCTGTAGCAGTACTTCTGCTATATGGCAGATGGGAAGAGGTTAAAATACATTTGGTCAGGATGCTGCTAAGCCCACCAGCAGGATCAGATGCCATTGTGGGATGAGAAAGATATCAAGAACCAGGCTGGAACACTCAGGGATGCAGGACCGGAGGTTATGTCACTGTGGGTGGGACAGGGAGCAAATAAGTGTGGTTACTTGTTTCAAAGCCCTGCGGCAGCAGCATCTGGTCCTGCATGTGGCTACAGCAGCGTCCTACATATCCCCCTTGGGGACCCACGGAGAGCAGGGATTTAAATCATGGAGACATGCTTTGTTCTTACAGCTAAAAGTAAGTTGCCAATTGTTTTTTTTAACAAAAACTGTGCTCCTACTTCCACACTTAGTTTGGTGCCCTTTGCTGTTCCATTCTTTTAAAGTGGTAATCACTGGTCCCTGGACCATCATAATTTCTGTTTAGCACCGCTAGTCTTAAGCTGGCAATAGATGGATCGAAAATTGGCTGGTTCAGCAAGGACAATGGTCATTCCCTCGAGAGAAGTTTGTGGTGTCTGTTTGTTGCTGACCTATCCCTATTGAATGGTGAGAAGTGGGTGTTGATTAATACAGTATTATTCAAATAGAGTAAAGTGCAACAGTGCTAGGTGTCTGATAATTGATACGAAAAATAAATAAATGAAAAAAATAAATAATTAAACAAGCAGCTAGCATAGGAAGTAAACCTCGAGAACTTCGGATAGTAAATTGACCATAAAAAATATGCAGCGCTCATATGTTAGATAATATCATGATCGCATAGATAGAACAATAGATTAATGATAAGAATGAAGCATTAAGATATTAAAATAATAAACTAGTGACTTCTGTGGTGCATCCAAGGTTGAGAAACCAGTAGAAAGTTTGTGACTCTTGTGGTAAAGAACTGAGAATAGCTTGCACTAACCAGATGTCTCAGCACATGGAGCATGGAGTAATTAAGACCTACTCCTGGTACTCTGAAAGGGAAGCCACTGAAGAGGATGATGTCATCTTATCTCTCGCCACTAGATGTCATGTTCCCAGGACAGCAGGACGGAGATCCCAGAAGTGTACATCAGCCAATGGAGGGATTAATCCAGCAAATCAGTCAGCAACCCACAGAAAGCCACGAAGGATCGAGCACCTTCAAAAAAGCCCGGGCTTCCTCCATAATAAGAGAGCCACAGGCCAGAAACTTTGATAGTGTAGTAGGTATTTATTTGTGTAGTAATTTCAAATAGTATAAAAACACACTTACAAAATTCAAAATGCAGGAACCATGGGGCAGCTATATAATAAGTCCAGACAGTTGGGGGGCACCTCTCTGACGCGTTTCATGTGACACACGTTTTCAAAGGGGAGGGAGTAAAATGATATATATTATGTCTGTTATATATCTTAGTATGTTTTTTTAATATGCATTTATATATTTTATGTGTGGTTTTCCATCAATCCCTTTACTATGTATTTATTGATTAATACGGGACCAATTTTTTTACTGAATGCTATGTGATTTATTCATTTACTGGATGAGCATTTGATTTCACATGCGTTTTTTAATCTTATGGTGCAATACCTCCCTGAACGTAATTTATTGGCAATGTACCCCGTTTTAACAACTTAGACATGTTGCTACGTTATGCTAATTTCATAGTCATTATTCTCTTATTTTGATTATGTGCAGTTACTTCCATTTAGCAAGGTGTCTGGCTCATCGTTTTAATTAATGCTAGCTCGTATGCCAAATATTAATTCCTCTATGTTGTGGCCGTTTTTATTGTGCACAGGCATAATGTCTCCTGCTGAGCCCTTTAACATGGGGCTCTGGATCTATTTGTCTATCTGTGCTGTGCTTCAAGAAAATGGCCACCACAATAGCGCACTGCGCGGCTTTGCTGCAATGACGTCATCGGTGCGTACTGCGCATGCTCACCGCGGGCTTTAAATAAGATCATTTCTCTGCAATGCACCCCCTTTTAAAACGTGTGTGTCACACGAAATGCGTCAGAGAGGTGCCCCCAACAACTGTCTGGACTTATTATATAGCTGCCCCATGGTTCCTGCATTTTGAATTTTGTAAGTGTGTTTTATACTATTTGAAATTACTACACAAATAAATACCTACTACACTATCAAAGTTTCTGGCCTGTGGCTCTCTTATTATGGAGGGAGCCCGGGCTTTTTGAAGGTGCTCGATCCTTCCTGGCTTTCTGTGGGTTGCTGACTGATTTGCTGGATTAATCCCTCCATTGGCTGATGTACACTTCTGGGATCTCCGTCCTGCTGTCCTGGGAACATGACATCTAGTGGCGAGAGATAAGATGACATCATCCTCTTCAGTGGCTTCCCTTTCAGAGTACCAGGAGTAGGTCTTAATTACTCCATGCTCCATGTGCTGAGACATCTGATTAGCGCAAGCTATTCTCAGTTCTTTACCACAAGAGTCACAAACTTTCTACTGGTTTCTCAACCTTGGATGCACCACAGAAGTCACTAGTTTATTATTTTAATATCTTAATGCTTCATTCTTATCATTAATCTATTGTTCTATCTATGCGATCATGATATTATCTAACATATGAGCGCTGCATATTTTTTATGGTCAATACAGTATTATTGATATTGTTTATTCATGTCCATATTTATTTAATCATCCCCCACCTTCATTTTCATACAGTAGGATCCAGCACTCCCAGAAGTATGAACGTCCTTTTGCAAGGATTGTAAATGAAAAAAAAAAAAAAAGATGTAAGTTAAAACAAATTAGACAAAATGATGTATTGTATTTCTGCTTTATTTTACACCTAATGACAGGGTCTGTCCAAGTCTTAACTAAATTGTAAACACTTACATATACCCAGTGAAGTGACTTACCTCAGGTGATACAGAGATGAAACAAATCCTCCTACATAAGTTGTACTTGTTTGTCTACAGGCTCTGTCCCCTACATCCATTCAAAGTACAGAATTTACACAGGATCTCTCAGCTCTAAAAAGCAGGTGGAGGGGACTGTGGATAGTTCCAAGAGCTGATTGAAGAAAAGGGACACACCCCCTGCACACAGGACCAGAGCTGAGGTTGTCAATCACAGACTGTGCCCTGCCCTGTCACCATTTTTCTCTTGTTGTCAGGAAAACTTGTCATTAGTGACTCATGCTGAAGTCAGAGGAACAAGGCAGCAGAGAGAAATAACCCCTAGTGTTCTGGATTGAGACAAGAACACAAAGAGAGATATGCTTTGTTCATATTTCATGTCAGAGGTTTACAACCACTTCAACCGCCTCCCGTCCACCATATAACGTAATGATGGGTGCAAGGCAGTTCTATTGTTCTGGCATTTCTCTCCTCATGAGCTGTCACGCTGACAGCTCAAGAGGAGAGGAGAGGAGAGGCGGTAATCTGCATTTCTCAGAGGGGACACTGATGATAAGTGTGCCCTGATGATCAGTGTAGCCCCAGCAGTGCCTGTCAGTGTCCATCAGTGCCAGCTGTCAGTGCTCATCAATGCCACCTGCCAGTGCCCATCAGTGCCTACCAGTGCACATCAATGCCACATATCAGTGCCCATCTGAGCTGCCTTTCAGTGTTACCCCCAGTGCCAGTCAGTGCCACCTATCAATGCCAGTCAGTGCCGCCTAACAGTGCCAGTCAGTGCCGCCTAACAGTGCCATATATGAGTGCTGCCTTTCAGTGCCCATCAGTGATGCCTGTCAATGCCCATCAGTCACCAGTGCCACCTATCAGTGTCCATCAGTGCCCATCACTGCAGCCTCATTAGCGCACATCAGTGAAGGAAAAAAATCACTTATTTACAAAATTTTATAACAAAAACTAAGAAAAAACGTTTTTTTTTTTTCAAAATTTTCTGTGGTTTTTGGTTTGCTTAGCAAAAAATAAAAAACCCAGAGGTGATTAAATACCACCAAAAGAAAGCCCTATCTGTCTAAAAAAAATTATAAAAATGTCATATGGGTACAGTGTTGCATGACCACGAAATTGTCATTCAAAGTGTGACAGCGATGAAAGCTGAAAATTGGCCTGGGCAGGAAGGGGGTATAAGTGCCCTGTAGGCAAGTGGTTAAGCCAAATAACCCACCAAAAGGTTTTCTAGGTAGAGCAGAAAAATGGCCCATTATAAATAGTGTCCTAAGTTTGAAGTCAAATTCAAGACTCCAGAGCTGCAAGGCACAATTATCAACTATTATGCGTACCTTTTTCTACATGTTATTCATGCTATAATTACATTTAGCAATTTGGGAACATATTTTGACGTTCAAGGAATCAAATGTCCTCTACAATGTTTTCTTCTACCAAAACAGTATTTTTATTAAGTAAAACTTTTTTTATATAAAAACATACACACAAAACTACAAAATGTATTAAATATGATCCAAAGCCATTATGGCTGCCGGGTAATCGTATATCTTTATATAGCCGACATTTAGCTCTTCCGGGTAGGGCAGAAGTTCTTGTACAACTTTCACCACACATGCTGGGACAGGTTTGCAGCCACGCTTGTCCAGGAAGCCATGAGCCCACACACTACAAATGCCCTGTATGACATGCAGCGTAGCTTGCTGGAAAACAAAAAAAAAGCATTCTATCAGCTTAAGAGTAATAAACTGTAATGAAAAAAAGAAAAAAAACCCAAATCTGTAAATACACGTTATACATCATTCACTGTACCCCCCACTTTTATGCCAGCTATCATTTAAAATGTAACCCCACCACTGGGGTTGCATTTAAAATGTAACCCCACCCTATTTTTATTAGGTTTCTCCCCCAACCCCCCCCCCCCCCCCCTCATATGTCCAAACTTGAATCCATATTTCTGTTCAAGACTCACTCCCCTTATCATATATGGACAATCCAGGTGCTGGCTGCTGTAGTCTGTCTCCACTCTCCATCAAAGATATTAAAAAGTATATCAGTTGCACACCAAACGTAGCTCCTCTTGCTGTATTTATTAATAGTCAGCAAAATGTCTGCATACGAGAATGTCTCCACCTGAAAACTAAAGGAGAGAGGGGCGCCAAACTAAGTGCAGTATTAAAAGGTTATTTTTTTATTAAGCAAGGTAACTGAGGTAACTCACTAGATAGCAATAGAGAAAAGGCATGTATTTCAGGTCTGAAGCAGAAGCTGACGCTTTGAAACATGTTACCCGCCCCCTCTTGTGACATTACGCTCACGTGGTGACGTCACGTCCGCCTGGCCGCCATTTGTATCCCAGCCTGGTTTCCATCACAGCTGCTGGATGCTGGACGCTACCAGCGTGGAACCGGGAGACCAGGTACCCACAGCAGCCTTGGCTCCTAGAGGGTATTCTGCCCTCTCCACCAGCCTCCAGGACCTTTGAAGGACGACGTCTATCCTGAGATACATGCCTTTTCTCTATTGTTATCTAGTGAGCTACCTCAGCTACTTGCTTAACATAAAACAACCTTTTAATACTGCACTTAGTTTGGCGCCCCTCTCTCCTTTTCTTTTCCATGCACAGAGTTCAGATTTACTCTAAGGGTGCTGCCTCCAATGTTGCTGATTCCACTATACTCCTCATTGGAACACTGTACAGTACGGACTACTCCCCTACAATTTTGGACTTTCAATTCTTCCTTTCTCTCCAGCGACAATTTTATTAATTAATGTTGCCCACCTGAAAACTAACTTTCCTTGATGTGATTCACCACTTATGGTTTGACCACAACCATAGGACTTCCCTCATCCTTGTGAGCAAGCCAGGAGTAGTGAAATTCATCAAAGAAGGTTGGTTTTAGAGTGGAGACATTCTTGTATGCAGACATTTTGCTGACATTAATACATACAGCAAGAGGAGCTACGTTTGGTGTGCCCGATATACCTTTCCATATCTTTGATGTATCAAAACTTGCCATCCCTCTTACCTCTAATATCTCACGGCTTACATCTAAAACTGGGACACCAGACAAACACCTAGATAAAGTGCATATATATTAAATGTTTACTTGCTATAGGATTTATAATTCTGTTTGGGCAGGATTATGATCCACAAACACACCTCTACTGTCCTCATAGTCAAGAAGAAGACAACGCCATTTAAGGCTTCCTGCATAACCTTGCTTTTGGTGCTAAGAATGCAAGGGGATGATGCTGAATCTTTGTCAAGCGTACAGTCTGGAAGTGATGTGGAGAGGTGACACCGGTAGCAGCACAGCTAAACCAGGACACTGTGGTGTCACTTACTTTGCCGTTCCACACGACATAGGTGTACGAATAATAAGACACTGGGTGGTCCTCCCTCAGCTGTGTATGAGGCTGATGATCCTCTCCACTTAGGGGTCCCCCTGGTGTTGGACGTTAAAGGATCTGGTCTGGGTCCCTCCGGTGTATCCAGGAGCAGGTCTGCAAATTAGAGTGCTCCTTGCTGTTCCTTCACATGTGTGTTTCTCTGTGCTCACCTAATAGGTGAGCACAGAGAAACACACATGTGAAGGAACAGCAAGGAGCACTCTAATTTGCAGACCTGCTCCTGGATACACCGGAGGGACCCAGACCAGATCCTTTAACGTCCAACACCAGGGGGACCCCTAAGTGGAGAGGATCATCAGCCTCATACACAGCTGAGGGAGGACCACCCAGTATCGGATGACATCTGGATCATTTATACACAAAGGCGCATATTTTATGCGGGTCTGGTGAGTGCGCATTGCTTTATCACTTTCGTGCACGGATACCTGAACCAAGTCACCTGAATACCTAAGTCACCTGCATACTTGAGCACCTAATCTCTGTCACCTAATTGAGGAGGACTTTTTATTGATCGAACTGATTGAATACATGTCATTATCTATATATGTTTAGCGCTGCACTTTATTTTTATGTTTAGTAAGGTCTTCTAGGGGTTATTGGTACCTCATTCGTGCATAGCAGCTTTACAATTGTTTAGTACTAAGGCGCTTCTCTCCAGTCACTTTGAATAATAAGACAGGCTGGACAGATCCTTTAGCCTGGAGTTCTGATTAAACCATCAATAAGTCTTTACTCATATAATAGGCTCCAAAGCAAGATCTTGTGGGACTAAATGTCACATGTAAATATTTCCAACAAAGCAGAAGCAAAAAGACTTGCAACATGCCACATGAGATGGTACTGTAATTTCTGCAATTGACCAGGAATCTGCATTTATAATAACTCCTAAATAACTAGGAGAGGATTATTGAAAATGATGCATAATCCTTATCTGTGTCAGCTATTATCTACAGCAAGTTAAACGTATGAAAAAACTGGAAGCGCCACACCAACTTGTATAATCCTTTGAAAGATTTTATTTTAAAAACTGGCCAACATGTTTCGGGGGCTCAGCACTCCCCCTTCAACATGGCTAAAAATATAGATCATACAGGCGCCTGTATTCCTTTTTCCAATCCAGGTGCCTGCATCATCTATTTTTTTAGCCCCGATAAAGAGGGAGTGTTGAGCCCCTGAAACACATTGACTGTTAAAAAATAAAATCTGTGAGCCCTGGTTCACGCTGAATGCAACTTTGAAATCACACTACTTCACTTGAAGTAGCACAATTCCAAAGCTGCAGATCAGTGTGATTTGTACCTCCGATTTCATTGTGGCTTGCAACTTCATTTAACAGACGTCAATGCAAGTTGCAATACAATTGGTAAAACGAAGTGCATGAACTATTGTTGAAATCTCTCTACTTGAAATCACACTGATTAAGACAATAGATGGAAATAAATTAGATGCTACTTCAGGGGCGTTTTGCACCTGAAGTCACACCGGTGTCAACCAGGCTCAAGCTGGTGTGGTGCTTCCATCCTTCCAAAACCTTAGTAAATGCCTCAGAGGGTCCAGCTGGACTCCACGGTTAGTGGTTAGCAGCCTCCAGGGCTGCAAACCACCCATCACATTATAATATATCTCCACGCGGTCCAGCATTCCTACACTATAAAGGATTATCTGCAGTAAAGAAGATATGTCTATATGAACTAATAACGCTTTTCGCACATTTCAGTGTAAATGTACCTGCTCATGGGGTTTTCAGTGTGCCCAATGTCCTCTCTGCTTTTTTTTCTGTATATTGAGCACAATCTAATGTTATTGAGCCCCCTGTGAAACTGCTATGTAGGTTCTGATTGGGTCGGAGCTTACATAGGACACTACCTCCGTCCACTGGAAAGCTTTTGTCGTGGGCAATTGGACCCTCAGGCTCAGGATGCTGTTTTGTGGGGGAAGTGGGCAGTCACATGTGCCTTCATACTCACAAATACCAGGATTGTTGCTGGCTCCCAAAAGTGAACAAGGCTAAGGGGGAGAGCAAAAGGAAAGTATTGTTCATTACCTTCCCTGCTCTAAAGTCAACCTATTACTCCTTAGGTTTCCACTTGTTTGGTTACATTTGGCAATCTATATATATAGTATACATAATGGGTGTCCATGCCCTGGTATAATACACAGGAGCCATATTTTTTCCAAGATGCAGGCCTTCCTTTTTGCCTTTAAATATAGTTACATAGTTGGTAAGGTTGAATAAAGACACCAGTCCATCCAGTTCAACCGGAGTGTGTGTGTGTCTACTATTTTCCACATACCTGTACATTGCGTTCACTAAGAAACCCTTCTGAAAGTTTTTGAATTTATCCATGTTCCCTGCCGACACCACCAGCTGTGGAAGGGAGTGCTACAACCT